CCACATACGTACAACAGTCGGTCCTAAGGTTCACGGCACCTGGAATCTACATGAGCTGCTACCGCGCGACATGGACTTCTTCGTCATGTTGTCTTCGCTAGCTGGTGTTATGGGCCATCGCGGACAGGGAAACTACGGATGTGGTAACAACTTCCAAGACGAGTTCGCTTCGTTCCGACGCGGCCAAGGCCTACCCGCAATGACTATCGACATTGGCTATCTTCTGTCGGTAGGATTTGTTGCTGAGCATGACGAGTATGTTGATCATGTCAAGGCGATGGGGTTAAAGGTCATGCATACCTCGGACCTGCATGGTCTGCTAGCGACCGCCATCGAAGGCCCCTCGCAGCACCCTGGGCAAGTCATGTGCGGCCTGCCCTTCAATGAGCACGATGACGCGTGGTACTGGATGGCCGACGCGCGGTTTGCTGCCCTACGCAACGTCGCTGCTGGCTCCTCTGCCAATGCCGGACAGGCTATTTCGCTACGGGAGGAGTTGACGCGTTGCGGCACCGCGAATGAAGAGGCTGTGCAGCTCATAACGGCAGCCATCGTGCAACGGCTTGCGAGCTTGATGATGATACCCGAGGCCGATATAGATGCCGGCAGGCCATTGAGCGCGTACGGTGTCGATAGTTTGGTCGCGGTTGAGGTGAGGAACTGGGTTGCACGCGAAATGGCAGTCGAAGTTTCGGTGTTTGATGTTATGCAGAACGTGCCAATGACACAACTGGCACAAAATCTGGCCGAGAAAAGCAAGTTGCTCCTTGGTCAGGCTTGATTTTGTATATACCTAAATAGTACTGAAGACAATATTGTTCTATCGTATATATTGTTCCACTTGATGCTCACAATGCTTACAGAGAAAGAAGGGATGGAGTAGGGCCGACCAGCCACCTGGGGCTGATGTAGCCACAAATTCTGATTGGACGACGCGTGATCATAACGTCATGGACTCGTGGCTGGGTTTGGTCGTCACCAACAGTGTGCCGCGGGATCGATCTTGATTTATGTAGGAGCTACGATGGTGCGTGGCTGTCTAATCAGTGCGAGAATGTCTGTGACTATACATAAGCTTCCCAGCCTCTCCATCTGGCAGGTCAGCTCCACCAGGTTTCCTCGCCAATAGACCAATTGCGGCTATTGCATTAGTTCACCATCATGTCGGGTAACGGTGTAGACCCTGAGGCAAGGGACAAGTATCTCTTACAAGGTGCGTGATTGCCAAGTAAACGTGATCGTTCGAAACGCTGATGGTTAGTAGTAACCGCCGGACCGTCCTACAACACATCGGAGCACGAGCAAGTGTCGGTCAACGGCGCAGACCCAACACATGTTGAAAGCGAACTTGTAGACGCATGGGTTCGCGTCCGGATCAAAGATTACCATGGCCTACCCCGTAGTTCCCCAGCTTCCTCGTCTTACTTCGACCACCCACAACATACTTCTGACAGGTACTCCATTGCCTACTCCTTTGTGCCCAAACAAGACATGTCTGGCTCTGATCTGGTAATGGGCTTCGATTACGGTCACTCTATCAAACACCAACTTCCGCCGGGCTTCAGGTACGCGATGAAGATCGCTACAAGTATGCTTGATCCTGGGCTTTATTCAGATGCATACTCCGACGAGCCATATTTGTACGGGCCCGCGCTTTCGAGTTTCTTCGCTTTCAGGATTGGGGACCGGACCAGCGAAGTGCCAGCAAAGGATCAACTCGCAAATCTCAGCCAAGAAGCAGACAACGTAATAGAAGAAGGTGCATCAGGAAGCGGCAAGGAAGTTCGCAAAGCTTCGTCTATGCCTTCGAAGTGGAAAAAGAGGCGGAAGCATTATCTTGACGAACAAGCCCTCTCAGCTTTCACGTTCGAAAAGGGCCGCATGTACCATGCCGACTTCTTTAATCCGCATCTTGATTTTGCGAATTTCTCATTAAGATTGCCGGGCTTCTCCATCAGCGTGGCCAAGTATGTGGATGAAAAAACGCATCATTTGAGATATGTGTTTAAGAATCGGAGGACATCGGATGTGCTTCTCGTGGTCTTTTTCAAGTTGCTGTTTGGCAAGGAACTGGATGATACGCTGGAGAAGGAGAAGAGGAGAGAAAGTGCACCAGCGGCCGTGGCTACAGACGATCAACCGAAACAGAAGAGTACAGGCCATGACGAATTGACAAAAGTTTGTGCTGCTGAGGAAGCTGAACGACGAGCTTCACAGCCTCAACCATCGACAGTGGAGCGAGACCATGCCCCTCCAAAGCAACCTGGAAGCACAAATGGTGTGACAGCGGAAAGAGCGGTCGAGGATGACGGCAAATCACAAGAAGACCAGAGCTACATCAGCCAAGCAACGACCGCTGCTTCGAATCTTGCAAATTCCGTGGTTGCAGTGTACGCAGCGCTGGGCTTCGGTAACTCGTCGTCATCGTCCGATTCAGAGGCTTCAAGCAGGAGGAGTAGCTCATCGCACCCACCGAACAGGTCCATGACGGCCGAGATCGATAACATGAATGACGAGACAGTAGAGCAGTATTTGCAAAGTCGACAGGGCAGCGTATGAGATTCTCTGTATACCCACTCAGTATGGAGGCAATGGCGCTGTGTAACCTTTTAGTAATGCGAATCTTAATAACTCCTCGTCTCCGGTTTCAATCCTCGCGAGGCAATGACCATGTGACGGAATCACTGCATCCAGAAAGTGCATTTTCGTGGTGAGGCAGGAATCTACATGGGGTGGAGAGAACGACGGGAGCAAGGATTCGGCAGTCGGCATCCGCCGATATCAGCCTTAAGTCGCTTAGCGTGCACGTGCGGTCGGGCCCAAGTTCATCTCGAAGCCGATGAAACTCCGGAGATGTCTCCTTGACACACGCTCTGCACCGTCCAACATTCAAAAGGCAACATTACACGCTCCCACACAGCGCGGCGCTGAGATTAAGCAACTTCAGTCGGACCGTGCTTACGCTCACAGCAACTGCACGCGCCAGGGCGCACCCTAGCCTTCGGTAGCTTACCTCCACATGATGGATCTGCGTCTCGGAAACTGATGCTTCCATGGCACTAAGCACGTTTTGTCGTGGAAAGACTGCCCAAAGGACAGCGCGACGCGAGGATGATGTGCGGTCAGGTACTGATTCATCCGGCGTCTGTCTTCCCGCGACCTGCGGGTATCTGTGTTCCAGTAAGAATCTTCTTGCGGCACTCTTAGTGGCGCGGATTCATGCGTTGCCGGTTGGTATGGCTCTCTTATGTAGCTGAAAAATACCTCTCCTACGCCAATGGCGCTTTTGCACAATCTATTCTTTCACATGATCATCTCCCGCGTAGTACTACCGTAGCTACGATATCGGTCCGTTGCGGAAACTCTGGAATCATGATAAGCACATGTTTGGACCTCGCACTCTTGTGCCATCCGGTACTCGCATTCCTCTCGATACAACGACCAAAGATGGCGGCTCAACAATCGAAATGGCAATACTTCTTCCTCAGTTTCTTTGCATTGCTCGCTATGCGCTATGCCAGCACTACGACCGCTACTCCACAAGCGCTGCAAGAGATTGTTCAGCCTGTCTGTCAGTCGGTTGACCAGCCAAATCCTATTGCGTCAATATACCCGATGAACGCGACGGGAACGTTGAACGGCACAGTTTCGGTACTACCGATATCCCTGGAGCTTGCACGTCAGCTCATTCCGTCGCAATACCGTATCTTGGAACATGCATACCGACATCTCCTTCCTTCATTTCCTGAAGGAATGTATCCAGCTGTACTTCAGGCAGTACATGATCATGAAGTACAAGCTTTCGGGTACCAGATACCCGATTTTTCGGTACGAGATGCCCCTAAACTTAGATCGCAAACATGCTAACGATGACTAGCGTAGTGGCATTGAATTCCCCTTCCTGGATCTGCTAGGCGACAATACGACATCATTCAAGTGGGCACCATCACTTCTCATGTCCGCCGAGAACGCAATCGCTCTCAAAGGTGCGGCAGATTACGGAACCAAGACCTACCCCTCTTCTTTCGAGCCCGCCTGTGACGCGTACAGTGCTGTACCCAATGCCAAGGAGCCAGGAACAACCTCGTTCAGCGCAAAGAGTTCCAACTCTAGCGCTGCATTCGTCGAGACGCGGTTCTCCTTGACTACTGAGGAAGTCTACCCAATTGGCTTCTTCATGAATGTCACGAACCAAGTGACATTCGCAGACGGCAAGACGTGCGACAACATGATTCGTCTTTTCAATACTAGTCTGACGACGAGTCCCAACACGATCGAGACAGTCAAGGGTACCGTGAAAGCTAAGATCTTTCCCTTTGACACCGAAAAGGAATGGGAATGCGCGCATGGAATCAGGCTAGACACGGTGTTTATCGAGAACAACTACCTGCCTTGTGAGAACTTCCGGAATTATGGCGCTTAGAACTGGGGGGTAGAGAGTAGGAAACAGGCTGTGAGGAGACAGAGTGTGAGGCGAGCACAGCATATGGGGATATACGAATCCCTTTCTGGCGCACGGAGTCACGAATGACCCAACAACGATACCCAATGAGCTACAATAGCTAGCGAATTACTATTAGAGTGTACATAGAATTTTAGAAGAATGCCAAGGTGTTCATACATGTTACATGATCCTTCTTTTGAAGCGTCGCCTGGCTACCATGAAGACAAAATCGCAAGCGCGTCCTTGACACAAAAAGTAGACAGTCCTTGTCTGCATACAAAGGAGCTCATTCAAGGTGTTTACAATAGATAGTACATGTAGAAGTAGAAATACTTGATTACATAGGTACTTGAGTTACTCAGCGTCTTACGAATACCTTCAACGTGAATATTTACCAAGCACCTCAAAAAGCTGAGCAAGGTGTCTTGTTCCAATTTCTGGAGACGTGTGAGCGTCACGATGAACACAGATAAGTTGGTGTACATGAAACATGTGGTCACGTAAATTAGAGAACAACGATATGTGTGAGTTTTGAATATCATTTAACAGCAAACTCTCACCCTCTTCCTAGCAAACCCTTGAGCCTAGCCACCTTACCCAGAACGATCCCTTTAAGCCCCCCAGCACCCATGTTAGGCACCTCATCCACACCCACAAAGCGGCGAACAAGCAAATTAAAGATGTTGCCAAAGCCCAGCGCCATGACAGTACTGGTCAAAATGATGACGTTATACGGCATACTGAAATCTGGTGTTGGAAGGGGGAGAAGTAGCGAAGTAGTGCGAACATAGATTCCCTTGTTGTCTCCTGAGTCGGGAGAAAGGATACGGATGACAGCAGGTGCGACGTCGAAGCCTCGATTCGCATCTGGTGGGTACTCTGTGTAACGTAGAATCGCTTTCTCGAAATCGTAGGTTAGAGTGAGGGTAGAGCTTGGTGGGATGACCAAGCGCAATTCGAGGTGGGTGCCGCGCTCGCGGTCAACAGCTGGTCGATAGTAGGTCTCCTTGATGGGGCTTTTGTCTGTGGTGTCGACGCGGGCTTGGAGAGTATGCAGGTAGGGTTTCATGAACCATGGTAGAGACTCTAGATATACTATCTCAACGGCATTGGTGGTGGACGGATTCTTGATGATTGACTGTGTGCTACCCCGTTCCTGGCCATGGCCGTTTATAGACCTGGCGGCGAAAATGAGAGGATCAGGGCGGACAAGGCCAGTCATCATCTTCTGTTCGGGTAGGACAAGGTCGAAGTCTGCGCCGGTGGGAAGCTTGTAGCATCGGAGCGTGTCTGATGCTAGTCTTGACTCGGTGAATTCACCTGTTGTCTTGACTTCGAGTGTACGTTCCGGTGGTGTGTTGATGCATACATTGTTTGCCTCCCCCTCAGCTTGGTCTGCCAACGGACATGCTCCCCTAAGTGGTCTTCCAAAGACCTCTTCCAGTGTCCAGCCGGGCTCAGTACCCTTGTTCAGAGGGTAACAAGTATCGTGGCCATTGTACGGCTTGGATGTATCGCATTCCATCTGGCTGATCGGCAGAGGTCGTGGAATCGGGTTGTCTCTTGGACGCTTGGCTCTCGCAATGTCCAAGACCATGTCCACGCTTTGCTCCATCTCAATCGAACAGCTGGAACTACCTTGTTCACATGTTGGGCGCACATCGATAGCCATAGTCTGAAACGAAGCATCAAACAGCTTGTGTCCGTCCAGTAAGCTGGACACACCTGCCTTGCCCTTGCAAGGTAGTAACTTGAGGAAGGGTGTAAGGTTCTCCGTGCAGACGACTTCGTGAGGCAGCGTGCCGTGGAGTAGATGGAGATTGGATGAGTTACCGTGCTGACCTTCAGGATCGAATGACATGACCGGCCGTATCGTCTTGGTAGCATCGATAAAGTTGATAGAGGCGCAAAAGAGGCCCGACAGAGCGTTGGTCAGCTTCAACCATCGTGCAAATGCTCTAGGTCAATCAGTATGAATTCTTTGTCCATTTGATGCGATTCATATACTCTTCTTCAGTGTCAGCCTCTACCCACGCCCACAGCTCGACACCAGTGCCTCCTTCTCTTGCCCCGTTCCATGGCCGCTGTCCCCAATTCTCGGCATCCCAACGTCCAACACTGAACCTCAAATGTAGTTCCCTCGTGTGCGCATGTTGCAAGATCTGTCCAAAAGATCGCGGAAAGTATCGAAAGTTTTGCTGTTCGAACGCGTGCGCGCTTTCGTTGCTTCGGAAATTGAAAGAGGCCAGAAGAGTGTCCTGGGGAAGGGGCCGAAGCAAGAGTCGCTCGCTGTAGTCGGCAGCTGCAGAGACGAATGCAATCAAGGCATTGAACAAAAGAAGGTAAGAAGACGAGAGCATCGCAGCATTGTAGCGCTCTCTACGCGAAAGGTGTCCTTAGCGACTGACGATGCGTGTTGGATGCCGCGGCCAACGTGTGAAGTGAAGGCGCCCCACATGTGATTGGCCAGCTGACGTGAGTACTTGGCATTGCCGCGGTCGCGATTTCTTTTGGCTATCACTCACCTCCAAGCTCTCCACATCACGACCCAACCGCGCAATACCGTAATATACACATCATGGCCGCCGCAGAGACGCGCAGGCTGCTTGGTAGGCTCTCTGGTTCTCTTCCCACTATCACATGTCATATGCTAACGCGACTACAGAGCAGCTTATGGGCGAACAGCTCATGAGCGGAACCGACCAGCGCGCGCCCCAACTCAGCATCACCGACCCCAAAGTTTGTCGCTCGTATCTCGTAGGCAACTGCCCCCATGATCTCTTCACCAACACCAAGAACGAACTGGGTCCCTGTTCCAAGGTCCACAACGAGGCGCTCAAGACGGAGTACCAGGAGGCAGACGCGGACCAGAAGCGCAGGTGGGGCTTCGAGTTTGATTACATGCGCGATATGCAGCATCACATTGACAGCTGCAACCGCAAGATAGACACTGCCCAGCGTCGCTTGGAGAAGACGCCCGAAGAGATCCGGCAAACCAATGCTCTCGTGAGTAACTGCGGCTTTCGATTCTGCTCCACGGCTAACAGTGGACAGCTCAAAGCGATAAATGAACTTACCAAATCCATCGACGCCGGCATGCTCGAGATCCAGATCATGGGCGAAGAAGGTATGGTTAACATGGCCGTACAAGAGTTCACCAAAGTCCGTTACAAGAAAGCCGAGAAAGAAGAGCGCGAGAGGGAGCTCCGGGCTCTGTCAGATACTGGAGGACCATCCGGTCATCAGAAGCTCCAAGTCTGCGACGTTTGCGGTGCGTATCTTAGCCGTCTCGATAATGATCGGCGTCTAGCAGACCATTTCTACGGCAAGATGCATCTTGGCTACGCTCAAATGCGCAAGTCCTACGAAAGCCTAACCAAGGAACTCAAGGACCGCGCGCCACCGAGCCGCAACAACTACTCTTCCTCGGGCGGCGACATGGACCGAGGCGGCGGGGGAGGCTGGGGAGGAGGCGGATATGGTGGTGGCGGCTTCCGTGGCGGACGAGGAGGCCGTCGTGGTGGCAGGAGAGGCGGCGGCTGGTAATTACCCCCGGAAATTGGCGTTAAGGTGTGTCTAGATTCCCAAAAGGTTCGGCTTACTGCAGGACTCATGCGAAGACTACCGCGACTCCGCGGTATTTGTACAACAACTGGCGATTTTGAGTGCCCCATTCGGGCATGTGAGCTTTGAGACAGTCCAATCAGAACATGTACGCTTTTCTCCAAGATGCACTTGTCATGCTTCTAACCGCCATCAAGGGATTTCTGTGCGACTGCCGGATCGACTGGATGAGAGAGAGCATTAGCATTGTCATCATCTGCTACGCATTGTCACAGGTGAGTTGCAATTTTGTGGTAGATTTCTGCAGATGTGACTCGCTGTCGTAGACTTCGACCATGTTACATTCTGATATAAATTAATTATCGACATTCGCATTCTTACATTTCTTCGACATGCATTACATGCACTAGATGCACTAGACGGTAAGTCATGAGACAATCGTCGACATACGATTATCTGCCTTCGGGCTACTGGGCATTGCGGAAGCACGGATGTAGGAAACTTTTGTATCCCCAAAGTTGATGTCTTTGGTTTTGCAAGGTTGCGTCTGATGTTCCAAACCCACAAACGTAGTTTTGCTAGACTTTGATTCTTCATTTATCGTACAATAACAATAGAAAACACAGAACGCATTCATGTATATCACAATCGCCCATACGCCATCGTAGGCCTCGAGACATGCTGCGGCTGCTCACTATGTATGTCCATCTCGAAAGTGTCCGTAGAGATGGCGCTTAGTTTCGAAGTGGGATGCAGTGAATCTTGATTTCCTCCAAGTAGCGAGTCGGCTTCTACAGCCTGTGGTTTCCGTCGTCTCAGCCAAAGCTTTTCCTGCTGCAGAGCAGCCGTCGATGTCGTCTCTGCGCTGTTGGGCCATCGGAAGGTGACTGGTATGTTCTTGCTGATTTCCATCATTTCACTTGCCTCCATCAACTTTCCTTCTTCGTGCACCAGACGGTCCTCCTCATCACTCGTATCGTTCGGCTGCCGGTGATTACCTCGGTGAGTCATTTCTATATTGTCTGCTACTTCGTTTCTAGGCGAGCGAGCAGCGAAAGCACCTATATCTGTAGATTCGATCCTGTGGCCGTAAAAGATTAGTGGTAGGATGCTTTCCTTCCACACTGGCCTATCGTGACGGTGGCGCCAGTTGGCAATTATCGTCCAAACTGAGAGAAGAACCGTGACGAAAGTGAGAATGACAGGCAACAGAAGCCAGTAGATGTGCATAGCAATGCATGTAGTCGTCTGCCACGCCAAGCCCTGTGCTAGACCCGATGGGAGATCTTTACTTAAAGAAGGATCCAGGCCTCTATCAGAAAGAAGAGCGCTACGTATTGTGTCGTTGAAAGGATTGGTGCCGTATTCAAACCTGAACCGGTTGGTCATGGCATTCGTGAATGAGTTGAACCAGCGATTGACATCATCGAAATGCATTGCACCATTGTTGAACAACGTCCGCAGTACAGCGCCAGCGCCAAGGTCTGTAAGCATGCCAGCGTTTTTCTCGTAGTTGTGCTTGTAGCATTTCAGACCTGTTAAGAGATTACAGTCTCCAACAAAGATTTCGTTATGAAATACACTCGAAATTGCCTGCACGAATTGCGCGTTCTGTCGGTATATGCATTGCTCGGGGGCTGAAACATTTCGGTATTCGTATCGGTAAGATGTGGAATCGTCTCCCGTAGTATTAGCAAGACTGTACAGAGTCAAGTTGGTTGCATTAGGTAGGGAGGACATGGTTTCCTTGTCGTAAACGTTCTCTCCAATACGGCATGGAGCTCTGACCGTTGTGTAGTGATAATATGGGTTGTTCAAACTACTCCAGCTCTTGATTCCATTAGGATTGGATTCTTGACCTCTTGTATCAGCCTGTAAAATGTCTGATCGAATCTCTCTTTCGTCGAGCTGATTGTTGGTAATAGAAACAGTGTATGTACGTAGACAAGGGTATAAACTACACATGACTGCAGTCAAGTTGGCATTATCTTGAATGGCACCTCTCCCTCTTCCCATGAAAGTGGCGTTGATATAGGCCCATCTAGATGCAGCCCTTAGTTCTGGCGTAAACAGGTCTGCCATCCATTCAAGGTCTTCAGTCGGCCAAATTTCGGCCACCTTGGTGCCAATTTGAGGTCTGTCGTAAGTGAAATTGAAGCCGTTGGGTAGTGTGTAGCGAGTCTCGTTCGTTGTCGCGTCCAAGCCCTTAGCAGTAACAAGAGAGACGACATCAGCACAAACGTTGCACATCCCAACTGTGGAGTATGACACAAGGTTATCGTCGCCGATGTTTCCAGTTTGAGGTCCTTCTGGGTCACCTTCCGGGAACGTACAGTTGCCTGAGCTGCAACTAGGGTTGATCTGGTTTTCCACGCCTTCGGGAGCCATGATGCTAGACAGAATGGCTGCGGCAATGTCAGGTGTCGGTATACCAAATTCCATTGTAGGTGATTCAGCTGTATTGTAATAGCCACCGCTCCGAGGAACATAGTGAGCAAAAGGGATTGACGCATTCATCCCCAGTGCAGGAAACGAGCACTCTGACGTTCGACTGGCCTGTTGAACGAATGGGCCTACCAGAAAAGAGGCGAGCAGGACAATTGCAGCAATCAGCGTCACCACATCCTTCCGTAAAACGGTTGGTATAAGGAGCAGAGCACCAAAGCTGCCACGGCTTCCAGAGTCAAATTGCTGCAAGTCGGCCAAGGGGCGAGTGCGACCTCCTCCAAACCACTCCCACTTCCTTTGTGAGATGACCTGGGAAACAATTACGACCACCATAGCGCGATGAATAGTTGACAGGAGAGCGAGCAGTGCATTGAAGTTGAGGCGAAACCCCCAATGAGGTGCCGGTTTACCGTCATATATCGCAAGGAGGGCGGTAATGGCGCTAATCAGGCCGATCGCCAGTACGAGAGCAAGTAACTCCCATTTCCAGGTACGGAAGATGTAGTATGGTCGCATTCCAGGTGCGAGCATTCGTGAACGTTGAATGTGCGAAGACAATAGGTAATGCTAGGCATCCGCGAGAGGTTGAAGAGAAGTACCCGCTGTAAGTCTGAATGGTAGAACGAGTAACGCGTCCACAGGTCAGCTCATGTTACAGATATAAAACGCTGTACGCTTATCTGTAGTTTGCCTTACTGCATTACATGAAACTGGAGGATGTTGTCACAGCCCAAAATTTCGGTGCATCGCCGTTGCTGTGCATAAGCTGGTTGCAAGAAGAAACGGCTCGGCGGCAAAGCTTGATCGGTAAGCATCGAGTTAAGGCCACCTGCACTTCTTCTAGTGCTCTTCTCCGGTCTGGGTTTATCTGTGTGCGCGCGGTCGCATAAGCGGAGGTCTCTGGCCCCTCTTGGGGTGGGGGCCGAGTTTAGTGTCGTACAGATCGCAGCGATTACCATGTATGTTACCTGCAGTGTAGTCATTTCTCACACAAAAGCCACACACAGCCCCATTGCCACACCTCAAGAGTCTGGCGACATAAGTACACTCTAATAGGTAGAAATCGTTCATGAAACTATGATGGGCGACAAAGCCACAAGATATCTTCGTTGAAACTGCGTTATAAGGAGAAACAGTACCTAGGTACTATGCTGCGCTAAGGGTATATATGAACGCCCTGTCCAATGTCACGAAAGGCCGCAAAACATCTCACTGTCGTTTACTGAAAGACAACGAGTCAAAGCTCTATACTGACCTGAGCTAATTGTAGCTCCGATAAGCCTCCAGAAATAACAACCTCTCCGTGATCCCGCCCCATCCGTCTAGCGAATGTTTCTTCGCTAGCATCGCCAGCTCGAATCCATCACCACTCTCTACAGCGACATCGTCTTCAATGCTCCAGATGCCTCTTGCTTTCGGCAGAGGATTCCCGTCTTTCCATGCCTCAAGGACTCTGACTGCTAGTTCTGGACGCATCCGCGTACGTTTGAGTGCTTTACTGATGTAATCATTAGACCATCCCTCTTCGTTTCGGTCTTCATAAAACTCGTCAATCTCGTCTCCTGTAAGGGGTGGATCGGGGTCTCCCGAGCCTGTGGATGTTGAGGACGCTGAAGATGGGGCAGGTGATGAGGATAGGCGGAGTGGTTGTGGGGGTGCCCGAGTGTAAAGAGTCTGGTCGGGGTCTTCCTCTTCCTGGAGGGACCGGCGGAACTCTTCCAAGGACTGGGTCGTGGAAGCATCGGATTCTAGTTGTTGGAAGGGCGATGAGGACCGCTGTCTCTGATGGAGCTTTGTACCGTAGGCGTAGTCATGTGGTCTTGATAAGCTGTCTTGTGTCGGCGAGAGGATGGCTTGAGTGTCGAAGTAGGACACCTTCTGGCGCGCGGCACGTGGTGTGGGTGTGTTTGAAGGTAGATCGTCGCTGACGACATCGTCTGTTGGAGGCGGCGGATGTAATTGATCAGTATCCGGAAAATCATCTGATTCTATGCTCTCCACCTCTTTCTCTTCGGGGTCCTCTTCCAAGTTGACCATAGTAGCGTCGTCGTCCCCTGAATCGAGCGCTTCTGATCGAATCTGCTCTTGCATCAGCGCTTCAGCGTCCTCCGAATGTGAAGTCGACTGAGAGCTCTCAGCAGATGATATCTCGACAGGCTGGTGCTGTGTGCCGGCTTCTTTATCTGATTCCACTAAATCTTCTCGTGTAGGCGTTGCGCTTTCACTCTTTCGCCGTTTGGTAGGAGGCGCTAGCCGCGTCTCTTCTTCCTGCTCTGCGAAATCGTTCTCTCGCAGTCGCTTTGTAAACCTTTCCATCTGATCTTCGTAAAAGTTCGAAGATTCCGGATGGGCAGTTGATGATGACGGCGCCTTGATTTCTGACGCAATGTTCGCTGAGTTCTTCAAAGAATCCAAGGGATCTTTCGTGACTGGTTGACTTTCACTCGCGCGTGCTTCATCGTGTTTCCGTTCCACCTGCCTCTTGATTTTCTCTCTTTTTGAAACTGGATCAGCCAACCATTGCGGGTAGACCACCTTCTCATAATACTGTTGCCACTGCTCACCAGTCTGTTCACCTTTGAATTCAGCCCATTGAGCCCAAGTAGTGTCGTATTCATCCGTTCCTTTCGAATCATCGATAAGGTCTGCGAAAGCATACAGCTCTAGCCAGTCATCTACCGTGAAGATGCCCTCCAGTTCTTGTACGCTGTAGTCACTTTTCGATTTCGATTTGCCTTTCCGAATAAGGTTTTTCGTATTTGAAGTCTGCCCTGTTTTAGGTGTTTTCTGTTTGGTGGGCATAGGGGAGACTGGAGCAGGAGGCATACGTTCGTTTGATTGATCGGAAGGCGGAGACGGGGGAGCGTTGTCAGGTATGTTGAAAGCGGAGGGTGGACGATTCTTCAGTTGCTTATGATAGCGATCGCGCCACGACTGCCATGTATGTCGGGGGTACTGGGGCTCGTTAGCGACCAGATTCAGAAACGGTTCTTTGTTGATGCATACCTTGGCTTCTAGCTGCATGTATACTTCATTTCCACCAATCTGGGCACCAGCCTCTTGGGCGTCACGCACCCATTTGTAGAGTATCCTGTCCTCTTCTGCGGTATACGCTGCCCTTCCACTCTTCGTGGGTCGGTAGACAGATGCAGGTTCACGCGCCTCACCTAACGGTGGTCCCGCTCGGTGGTCTGCGGGATCTTGAAGCTCTCCATGTTTGATAGATTTCTCTACGAATGTGTACGATATCGTTCCTGGTGCACAGGTAGTGGGTCTGAAATGGTCCGCGATCCGATAGTCTGCCATCTTCTCCAGTTGTACAATCTCTCCACCGTTGGCCTTTATGTCGTCCAGCAGCCGAGAGCGGGACGGCACGCGCTGCGCAACCCAAAACTTGTTGCCCGCAAATATCCCCGCCCCCGAACTGAAGTCCAAGTCTTGGGCGACATGCTTGTATACGGTCGGCCCAGCCATAGTGGGTTGGTGTTGTTGGTTCGAGGCGCGGGTGAAGGGAGAGGAACGACGCGTTGGCTGAGTTGCGACGCGTGCTCACATGGGCCGCTTGATTCACGCGGGGTCGCTTGGCGGCCGCGGCTACTCAGTCCTATCCATCTCTTGCGCGCTGTCATGTGCGTGAATGGATCAACGAGACAAAGCCACGACATGATGATGCGATTGTAGCTTCGAGTCGCATCTTGTTCCTGTGTTCCACCATGCATAGTATCGCCTCTAGACTCCTTTCATCATGACAGTCGCGCGCACCATCATCATCTTCACCATTACAGTGTCCCTAGTCACGTTCATAGCTTTCTTCGGACGACTGCCGGCTTTCAGGTATTCACACTTGTTCCTCTAGTCACAGCCATTGCTCTAACGCATTTAGAAACACTCCTATAGGTTTTCTCAACCGCCTTTTCCTCATCCATATCCCATCCGTGTTCCGCAAACTCGACCTCGCCCTCACAAATGGCCGCATCACAAACGGCGGTTTCCGCCTGGGCAACTACCTCATGCATGATAAACACCCGCTGGTCGTCATATTCTTCCTCGGCCTCGTAACTGCATGCGCGACGCTATTCCTGCCTACTGTTTGGCACCTCCTTCGACCGTCCCATAAGCTTCTGGTCTTCTTTCTGCTGCCACAACCATACGTCTTTTTGTATCTTAGCGCAAAGAGAAACAGCCAGACATATATCAACTCGCTCAACCATGCCGAGCAGATGCGACACTACCCATATGACAGGGTGTTGTACTATCCAGGAACACCGTGCCGGACGTGCAAGTTCTTGAAGCCGGCAAGGAGCAAGCATTGCAGTATATGCAAGACATGCGTGTCAAGAATGGATCACCATTGCATATGGGTCAACAACTGTCTAGGAAGAGGGAACTATAAGTGGTTCCTAGCCTTGTTGCTGTCGACTGGTGTACTGATTGCCTACGGAGCATATCTGGCTTACTACGCCCTTTCACCACTAGTCAACAAGCACCACTCGAAATATGAAGCATGGTATAGATATAAACCCAAAAATGGCGTAGATGCAAACAGCTGGTTTGGTTGGTTCGATAAGAAAACCCACTACTTTCTCATCTATGTGACCATCTACCTCGACATGGGAGGGGTTCGTGGATCTGGAGTTGGGTTACTAGCTCTTCTCACATGGCCACTTCCACTAGGTTTACTCGCATACCACGTCTATCTGATTTGGGCTGGCATGACCACGAATGAGAGCGGCAAGTGGGCTGACTGGCGAGACGACATGGCGGACGGTGTTGTGTTCCTGGGGCACAGACGGGAGGATACCATGCAAGAGTACCGCTCAACATCGCCCGCGCACAACCATGTACCCGCCTCAGCGCATTCCTCTTCATCAACTTCGCCCTTCCCAACCCCTCCAGAAACCCCGCCAGAAGACGAAGAACCCCCAACAACCTGGCCGTTAGAAAGCAGACACATACTCATCCGCACCCGAACGGGCCAACCACCCAAAACTCTCCCGAGTCGCATCAAGTCGGTAGCCAAAGAAGACAGCTTTGAACGAGTATGGAATCTGGCAGCGGTGGAGAATGTCTACGATTTAGGTTTCTGGGACAACATAGTAGAAGCACTGTTGAACTAAAAGGCACCCCACATCGGATTCTTGGACCCTTTCCAATATACTTTACATGCATTTGTTCGGCCCTATATCAAACGCTATCCCTGTACTGTAACGAATCCTAGACCCTGCGTCTGTTCATGCTAAAACCTGCTCCTCACCCCAGCCTTCCGCTCATAGCTATGACGTCATACGACTCAAACCTCAACACCAACCTTGGAAGGCACATGTACAAAGGATGCAGTACCGCCGGGTCCGCGGGGCTTCCTCCGTTACCAGCCTCGCAATTTTTCCAAAAGTCACTAATAACATACATCTCGATCGCAATACCAGTTGAAGACCCCATATTTCTAAGAAAGAATAAATCATCTGCAATATTCCAACATGACACAAGCCGTATCAAAGCAAGAAGCCTCCAAGCAACAGGTGCAGCAGCAAAGTCAAGCTGCGGGGAGCAGAGAAGTGCAAGAACATCATGCCAGTGCTAATGCCTCTGTACGTTCATCTCCCTATGATTCTTTTCTCCAAGGTCCTTTCCACATGAACTAATGCCAATATGTCCACAGGCTGGTTTAAACCTCAACATCTTCGGCGCCCTCTCTGGGGCCTTTTCCTCGAAGCAAAAGAAAACTACGCATCAGAATGCTGATGGCTCGTCTACCACTACCGAAGATAAACATGACAAAGGTACTTGCTCATCTCATCTCATCTCTCTTAGTATCTGCTAACAGCCAAACCAGGTATGGCGAATGCGGCAGCTGGCGGTCGTGGAAGTGCTTTCGCAGCTGGAAATGCACAACAGTCTAGTTTGAAAACAAAGGAGAGTGGCGTGGGACAGGAGAGTAAGCAAGGTAAGAGCGTGAAGCAGGTTGATCATTTGGGTATTGAGGGCTAGAAGCAAGGTAGACAATTGGTAATGTTGTAATGGATATTTGAATTTACAAACAGGGTGAATAGTGAATGATTATGAGTGATCATAGTATTATGCTACATAGCCGAAAAGCGCTGAATCGATAACGATGCCCTTGGGAAACATACAAAACCAACCACCATTGTGATATCTCACTCCATAAAACAATCACCCAAATATAACAAACGCTATGCTAGACTCGGTATATGCAGATCCCCAAACCCAGACACCCCGGATCACCAAAAGTCAAACCCCAAAACTCCAATAAACAAATCTCAAACCGCTCCACCAATTCTACTCAAACCCTCAACCCCCCTCTTAGCAGCAACAACATGCCAAGGCAACGTCCCATTCCTCGTTCCCCTCATCCCTCTAAGTTTCGCCAACAACCCCAACGCTCTAAACTGTCCCAGCACCTCCTTTAACAAGCCTTCGGCTGTCGTTCTAGTCTGCGGCGTGGGCGTCCACATAAGACTCGTTGTACTTCTCTGTCCCGCATCCTGGGCTGGTCCCGGGCTCTGCGGCGTGCCCGGGTTACTAGCATACGGGTTTGGCAAGGTAGACGCGCCCGGGCTAGGGAGATCTGAGGATGCGGATGCAGCGGACGGGGTACTAGCAGAAGACGGTGGTGGAAAGGGGGAGGATGCCGCGCGTGTTGAGCCTACGGCACCGATCCAGAGGAAGTTTACTGCCACAACTATAGGACCTGGTTCCGGATCGGGGATTGGGTGTGAGATGCTGTTGCGTGTTTGTTGGGTTTCTCCGCGCTTGACCAGGAGACCGGATATAAGGGCAGGGCTGAATTGGGTTGTGGATTGTGTGTTGTGGAGGCGATGAGCAAGGATTACGCCCCATGTTTCGTCTGTGATGTCGATTAAGCGCGCTTCAGGGTCTGCGGACGGGTCCGTGGCGGAAGGGTCGGCGGAAGGTGTTGCGGCGGGTGTTAGACCTGGTCCCAGATCGGAGGGGGAGACGCCAGCTTGGGGTGTGGATTCTGGGGTATTTGTACTTCCACCAATAGCCGTGCTTGGCCCTGTCATGGTTGGCGTAAACTTGTACGGAGGATCCGCATCTATCGCTGTGAGTAACGTGACGAATACGTTGATCTGCGTTGGACATGAGATTAGAAAAACCCAGGTCTCTAATTCCTCTCTTTCCAAAACCCCAGCTTTAGCAATGCAGACACGCCAGTTGACACGCCTTGACTGTAAAATCTCGATAGTGGTCTGCCAGATTTCTTTCGCGACCTCTCGGAACATGCGTGTACCTAAGTGATACGAGACGACTGCTTGCGACTTGCCGCAGCTATCAGTCCAAGCTGCTGTCACCCACGTGCCATCGAGACTGATCGCGTAGCCCAGGTGCATGTACGTGTTTTCTCGAAGCAGATCCTGAGCCGGCTCGGAGATAAGCTTGAATGGTATGTTGCGTGGAAGTGTCTCCTCGAGATGAAAAGCAGGCGCTGCATATATGCTGAGGCATGTCTTGTCTCCACTAGGTGCACTTGGCGGGCATCGGTCATAAATTTCTCGTGCAAGGCCGAAATACGTAGAAGGATCCAGGATGACGGGAGTGTCGAAAGAAGCTATGTACTTCATCGGGACGACCTGAAGCACAAGATCTGGCTTCTGAGGCTGGTCCGGTCGTCCTGGTGATCCTTGACCGTAAGCCTGAAAGAGTGACCAGAAAGCCGAACACAGCTCCCACAACGCGGATGGGCCGCCGAAGGGATCAACCATGTAGATAACAAACGCATCAATCTTCGAATCTTGCTGTTCGCGTATCTTCGCATGCTGTATGGCAAGAAGCTTTCCAAGTTGGACGCAAGTCTCTTTAAGGAGCTTGAATGACTCCGCTGGTGTGACGGTTGAGCTTGCCCTCACAGGTACAAGACCACCTTCAAACTCGACAACCGTCTCGACTCGACTGTGTGTACCAAGCTTGCAGCTGTCGTAGGCAAGCTGAAGGTTGAGCAAAAAGTTCTCTAGGCAAGGTCTGAGAGCATCGCTATGTGGGTAAATGCAGAATGGAACGACATTTTTGGGTGAACTGATGGGTGACAATCCTAAAGGTTCCCAAAAAGCTACTGCAGGAGGAAGCAAGTCCCAATGCGTTTCTGCGCGGCGCACCCTCAAGAACGGTGCATTGATTTGATACAGATGGCTCCCAGTCACAGCTGGTCCGTCGTTCTTTCGCGCGGCTGGCCTTTGCTGTGCTTTTGCTAGGGCAGCATAGTCCTGGAAAACTTCGTGCACACCTGCAAGAGTAGGCAGGTCACACTCTGCAGCCGCTGGGAAGATCTCTTTGATGACCGTGTGCCAGCGCGTCTCTGCTATTGCTTCGTTGACAGGATCCTTCTCAAAGGGTAAATCCTCTCCTAAGAGATCGAGTGTGGTCTTTACAATCTGATCTGTCACGATTTGCGTGATGGAAATACTGTCCTTGGCGCTCAAAGGCTTTTCTTCTGAAAC